GGCCGCCATGGAGGACAACCGGGCCGAGCAAGTGCGGGAGCTGATGTGCCAGTACTTCGAGAGCTGCGGGGAGGGCTGATGGGCCCGGGGAGCAGCTGCCCTGCACATCCCTGCCTGCAGACTCACCGTGGACTCTGGCAAAGTGGCCCAGGGCTACCAGCTGTACCAGGCGGGCCCAGGGTGGGGAGGGGCGGCTGTGTCACGCTCGTGGTGGGTTTGCTGTGCAGGTTTCAGGCAGTGGAATGTATTTTGTGCACATTCTCTCTCCCAGGATCTAAACTGTTTGGTGGTGTGTTGTGTGCTGCAGGAGTACAGTGGGGATTAGGGCTGGGAGGGGGCAGCTGCTGGGATCTCCCTTTGCTCTGTCTCAAAGCCTCTCCATTAGACCAAAATCAGCAGGAGCCTTGAAATAAGGCAAAACTCCTTTGGAGGTTTGAAACTTGCTGCGTAAACACATATGGGAAGGAGAGGGAAGGAAGAGGTGGAGCAGTGGCTTGCAAGGGCTGACACCAGCCTGGAATTAAACTGCATCCACAAACTCAGGGATGTGCTGCCCTGAGGGCTTGTCCAGCCTAGCATCCCCCAGCCCCTCTCCAGAGGGGTTTTGCTCAGCCTGGCTCACCTGGCCTCTCTCCAGACAGGTTTGCACAGCCTGGAACACCCTGACCCCTCTCTGGAGAGGTTTGCCCAGCCTGGCACCCCTGGTTCTTTCTCCAGTGCGATTTTGCCCAAGCCTGGCATCCCTGACCCCCTCCTGAGGGATTTTGTCGAGTCTCGCACCCCAGGTCCCTCTCAGGGTGGGGTTTGCCTAGCCTGGCACTGCCTGAACCCTCTCTGGCTTTCTCCCAGCCTGGAACACCCCCAGGCCCTCTCAGGGTGGGCCTTGCCCAGCCTGGCACCTCCTGCCCCTCTCCAGAGGAATTCTGCCCTCCTTGGAACACCGTAGCCCCTCTCAGGGTGGGCCTTGCCCAGCCTGGCAGCCCCGGCCACTCTCTGGAGCGGTCTGTGGCTCAGTTCCGCGGCCCCGCCCGGCTCTGCTCTCCGTGACCGGGCCCGGCCATGGCGGGCAGCGCCCCTGCCCCTCCCGCAGCGCCCCCTGGCGGCCGCAGCGCCCTCAGCCGGAGGGGCGGCAGCGCCGCCTCGCGGGCGGCCCCGCCCGTGCGTACTGCGCAGGCGCGGCCGCCGGGCGGTCACGTGGCGGAGCGGCAAGATGGCGGCGCGCGGTGAGTGCGGCGCCGGCACCGCCGGGCCCTCCCCGAACCCCCCAGGATCCCCCGGCCCCGCGGCTCCTCTCGGGCCCCGCTCCCGCTGACTCGGCGGCTCCATCTGGCGTGGTCGCGGCAGGCGGTCTGTGTCCGCCCCGGGTATCCGGTGAAACCGAGTGTCCGAGGACACGCGCTCTGGGGTCAGCCCCGGCCCGGGGTCCGGTTGTCTGGCACAGGCCGGGCCGCGGCCCTTCCCGCCCGCCCTGCCCCCGGCCACGGGACCCGCTGGCGGCTGAGGGCGCACCTTGACTCCCTTCCCCGGACGCAGGAGTGTGACCGAGGAGCTTCCCGGAGCCCCGAGCGTGCCCGGAGCCGCCCGCGCCATGGTGACGGAGCAGGAGGTGGAGGCCATCGGCCGCACGCTGGTGGATGCGGCGCAGCCCCTGCCCGCCCGGTTCCGGGCCCTCTTCACTCTGCGGAACCTGGGCGGCCGCGCGGCCGTGGAATGGATCAGCCGCGGCTTTGGGGACGGCTCGGCGCTGCTGAAGCACGAGCTGGCCTATTGCCTGGGCCAGATGCAGGATGAGGCGGCCATCCCGGTGCTCATCCGCGTGCTGGAGGACACGGCCCAGGAGCCCATGGTCAGGCACGAGGCAGGTATGGCAGCAGCTCCTGCGGCTCTGGGGGCAGGGGAGGGGGCTGGCTGGCAAGTGGAGCTTGGGGTGCTTCTCCCACTGTACAGGACAGCTCACGGGGGCCTGATCCAGCTTGGATGTCAAACCCTGAGTCACGGAACACCTCACCTGACAGGACAGGTTGGCCAGGCTCTGCTGTTCCTGCTGGCCAGGCTTCTCCTGTCGTGTTTGTCCTGTTTGGAATTGGTCAGTCTGGCCTGTGCCCACGTTTGCCCCATTTGGGATCGGTCAGTTTGGCCTGTGTCTGTGCTTTAGAACAAGGCAAGGCATTGCTAGAGGACACAGCAGTGTTCTTCTCACACAGACACCCTGATTACATCCTGATCCATCCTTCAGGTGAAGCCCTGGGTGCTATCGGGAACCCCGACGTGCTGGATGTCCTGAAACGCTATTCCCATGATCCTGTGGTTGAGGTGAGATTCCCGAGGGGTCATTTCCTCTGGGACCAGCACTGCTGGTCTCAGAGGCGGGTCCCGCACTGGCCACGTGGGTGGGGACATCGCAGTGACATCTGCTGTGTGCTGGGCTTCTCCTGGTGCTGTCCAGTGCTGTTGTGCAGCCAGGGCCGTGTCCCTGTCCCCACAGGTGGCAGAGACATGTCAGCTGGCTGTGAGGAGGCTGGAGTGGCTGCAGAACAACAAGGAGCAGCCAGGCAGGAGCCCGTACCTCTCTGTAGATCCTGCTCCCCCTGCAGAGGAGACAGATGTTGCCAAGCTCCGGGAGATCCTCCTGGATGAGTCCCAGGAGCTGTTTGAGCGCTACCGGGCCATGTTTGCTCTGCGGAACGTGGGGGGCCAGGCTGCTGTGCTGGCGCTGGCAGAAGGTGAGGGCCTGTCCTTGCTGTGGGTCTGTCCAGGCTAATCTGGGATGAGCCTTTCCCAAATCCAGGACTGCCAGAGCTGCTCCTCATGTGTTTGTGTCTAGGGCTGCTGTTCCCTGCTGCATTACAGAGTGCTGGGTGGTCTCTGGTGTTCCAGAGTCCCCTTGCCACCCTCCAGACTCCCTTCCCTGAGGGAGGGAGGGCACTGGCTGTGATCGGGGTCTGGGACCAGTCTGGCCTGGGGTTTTGGGGTCATGCTCTCCTGGCCTGGAAGGTCAGGGGCTTCTGGTATTGGGAGAGGAGAATGTCCCTGAGTGGGAAAGGGGCAGACCACAGCCCAGGAACTGTTTGGACCCAGCCTGAGGCAAGTGAGTCAGGCTCTCCTGAGTCAGCCATCTGGGCCTGTTGAGGTCCATAAGATGGGATCTGTCAGCTCCTGCTCCAGCGGCTTGGTCCCGGAGGGCTGGAGTTTGTGGCCATGCTGCCCTGGAACATCATGTGGTGGGGCAGAACCTGGGCAGGCAGGGGGCAGGAGCTCTGCTGGGGGGTAGGTGCTGCCATCAAAGGAGGCACTGGGACAGGGCTGGGATCAGGGAGCAGGGCTGGGATCAGGGAGCAGAGCGGGATCAGGGAGCAAGTTGGGATCAGGGAGCAAGTTGGGATCAGGGAGCAAGTTGGGATCAGGGAGCAGGGTGGGATCAGGGAGCAGGATGGGATCAGGGAGCAGGGCTGGGATCAGGGAGCAGGGTGGGATCAGGGAGCAGGGCTGGGATCAGGGAACAGGGCTGGGATCAGGGAACAGGGCTGGGATCAGGGAGCAGGCTGGGATCAGGGAGCAGGGCTGGGATCAGGGAGCAGGGCTGGGATCAGGGAGCAAGTTGGGATCAGGGAGCAGGGTGGGATCAGGGAGCAAGTTGGGATCAGGGAGCAGGATGGGATCAGGGAGCAGGGTGGGACACCTCTTCCTGTACATGGGGCTGGGGCAATGACCCTTAGCATCCCCAGCTTTCAGGCGGGGGCTCCATCCAGGCATCCTGGCATGTTTTGGGGCATCCTGGTGAATTTTGGGGCGTCCCAGCTCACTGTGCCCCCTCTCGCAGGGCTGCGCTGCGGCAGCGCGCTGTTCCGCCATGAGATCGGCTACGTGCTGGGGCAGCTGCAGGACGAGGCGTGCGTCCCCCAGCTGACAGCAGCCCTGTGCAGCCGCGCCGAGAGCCCCATGGTGCGGCACGAGTGCGCCGAGGCGCTGGGCTCCATCGCCCGGCCCTGCTGCCTGCGGGCCCTGCGCGCCTTCGCCGGCGACGAGGAGCGCGTGGTGCGCGAGAGCTGCCAGGTGGCCCTGGACATGTACGAGTACGAGAACGGCGCCCAGTTCCAGTACGCCGACGGGCTCTGCAAGCTGCAGGCCTCCTCCTGAGCCTGGGCTGGGGGCAGTGAGGTGGGTGTGGTGCCTGCCACCCCCTCCTGCTGCCGCCGGCGGATCCGTGCCTTGCAGAGCTGCAGGAGGGACTGGGTTTGCTCTCTGGCACAATTACAACCACCTTTTCCCTCCAAATCCGGGCTGAGCTGCTACTTGCCTCCCCACCGCTCCTCGCCAGCCACTCTTTCCTGGATCTGCCCCTTTTCCCTGCCAGGATCGGCGCTGCCTGCCCGCAGCGTGGCTTGGGGCTTGGACCAGGTGGGCTCTGCTTGGCACGTCAGAGCCTGCTGCGGCTCTGCAGGGCCTGGGCCTGCCCTGGGTTGGTGCTGCCCCGTCGGCAGCTCCATTCTCCGCAGCTGAGCTTTGCTGGGGGCTAGGATGGGCTTTGGGCACCCGCTCTTGTGGGCTGTGGTGTTGGGATGCTTCGAAATTGCTCTCAGTGGTGGTGCCGAGCCAGGGCCCTCCTCGCCCGTGCTGCGGGTTTGGCTTCTCCTGTTGGGACAAGCTGGAGCTGAGCCTGTGGCAGCCTCTGCCCCAGGATGGGGGTTGTTTCATGGCAAAGTTGGGAAGATATGGCTGGGTTTTTTTCTGCAGGGAAAGGTGCTGCCATTAGGGTGGGCAGGGTGAGGCAGAGCCTGCCTGGGCTTTCCCCTGTGTTTAACCAGGGCCAGGAGAGCTGAGGCTGCTGCTGGCACCCAAATCCCTCAGTCAGCCCAGCCTGGGCACTGGGGTTTGGGGTTTGGCAAGGAATAAAGCACTGGCACAGGAAGCTGGAGTGAGTCGAGCTGTGATTTACCTGTGCCCAGGTGTGCAGTGCACCCACTGCCAGGGGTCAGGACCTGGGCAGGAGCCTGGGGGCTGCCAAAGTGGAGTCATAGAACCATTGAGATGGGAAAGGACCTTTAAAATCGAGTCCAGCCATATTGGGAGGAGCAGGGAGTGGGGTCCCTGATGGCATGAGGTGAAACCCCCAGCCCTGGGGAGGAGGATGATCTGTCTGAGGTGCCCTGGTAGGTCCCAGTGCCCTGCAGGGCCTGGCATCATGCGGGCATACCTTTTCCCTTGTCCAAGGGCTCCCTGTGAGTCACTCCCAGGCTCAATCCTCTTAATCCCTGAAGCCAGCTCAGCATCCCCAGGGCTCTGGTGCTCAGGACCACAGCCAAGGGGCAGCCCTGGCCATGGCCCAGTCTGACCCAGTTCAGGACTCCATGGAAAGGGGAGTCCTGGTCAAGATGTGACCAGTTTTGGTCACCTGTACACACCAAGAGTCAGTGATATGTACCTGAGTGCTGTGGGTAGGGTCACCTGTGTGCGATGTGGAGGGTGAGAGGCTCCAGACTGCACTTCCCCAGCACTGGGGACAAACATCTGATGTTTTCACACTGTTTGGAGTCAGCAGCTGTTACGGGTTGCTTGTCCCCCTTCCCTCACCCTCCTTAGCCCCTGGGTGATGGGCAGGACCCAGCTGGCACTTTGGGCTCAGGGGTGTCCCTGTGTCATATCCATCCCCAGCAGAGTGAGATGGGTGACTTCCCCAAGGCCACGTTATCATTTCCACTGTTCCCTTCCTGGCACATGTGCTCCAGCACCCTGGAGTTTGCCAGGCTGTTTGTCCCCACTTATCACCTCGGCTACCCCCACCTTTGCTCTCCAGCTTTGCCACCGGTGACTCACTCAGACCTTGCAGGGTTGTTTCCCAATCATTCTGTGTCTACGTTTGTCTCTATTCCCCGACACCTTTTAAGACAAAATTGGAACAAAATGCATTTCTGAGGCTGGGATCTGGGCAGGGGTGACCTGGTGCAGCACAGCTGGGAGGTGCTGGACTGGAGCAGGACTCAGCCTTGAGCCTTGACTCGGCACTGAACTCCACCAGCACCTTCAGCCTGTGCTGGAAGCTGCTGGTGGTCTGGCCTAAAACCTGCACCCTCTTGGTGTGGGGGAATTGCTTTTGGGGGAAGCATGGACTCGGCCCCCCTCTGCAGGCTGCTCTGCCCTGGGGAGGTGGCAGTGGGTGCTGGGGTGACACGTGGCAGCCATCTGGGAAGGTGACAGCCTCTTGCCATGGGGTGCTCCCCTGTACAGCAGAGGGGGCCCCGTGGGAGGCACCCCCATCCCCTCTGCCCATGGGCTCCAAGGGTGCTGTGTCCTCTGGGATCTCAGCCATCTGCTCCAGGGATCCGGGGCCTGCTGAGGGATTTAACCCAGCCCAGGGGAGGGAGGAAAGCCCTCGGGCATCCCTCCCCATTCCTGTCTTGGGGAGTTCTCCAGCTGCCCGTGACTCCCCACTCCCAGGGGGTGGGGGTACCAGTGGTGCTCCCAGAGGGGCAGGATTTGGGGACCCTGACCCACATCAGAGCCCACTGGTCACCTCCCATGCTGAGGCAGCCAGGCTGTGCCTGGATTAGCAGGTGCTAAGCTCCTCAGCAGCACAGCTCTGTCACTGGGTGAGTGGCACTGCCACCAGCTGTAGGGACACCACTGTCCCTGTGAGCTGCCGGCACCGAGGAGCCTTGTGGAGCCTGATGCCACTTCCCCCCCTGCAGTCCCCTGCGTGGCAGAGGCTTCAGTGGCTTGGGGTGGGGCTGCAGGGATAGCTGGCCATGGCCCTGGCAGGGGGTATCCCCCTCCCTGGCACCGGGGGGGCACAGGGGCCACGGCACTTGCTGCAGTCCCCCCCTGAGGAGGACGGGGTGCTGTACGTGGACTACAGGCCCCCTGCCCTGGACAGCATCCACCTGCCCCGCTATGTGCTGTACCTGGTGATGGCAGCAACGCTGGTGCTGGTGGTGGCATATGCCATCGTGGGGCACCTCATCAAGGACCTGGTGCACGACTTTGCTGGTGAGTGCTCCCCACAGCGGGGTCGGGCTTTGGGGTGGGCAGGGGCCAGGGGGATCCCCCACCTGAGGCTGGGCTGCGGCAGGGCTGGTGCTGCTGACAGCTCCCTCTCTGCTCCTGCAGACTGGGCATTTGGGCCCAAGCCAGAGGAGAAGGCAGAGATGGCTGAGGGCCCCGTGCTGGAGGCAGAGTGGCTGGAGGAGGATGAGGTGCTGGTGGAGCAGAAGGTGGAGGATGAAGGCAGTGGAATCCTGCCTGGCACGGACATCCCACTGCAGCTGCTCGCTCCTCGCAGCTCCGTCTCCTTTGCTGACCCCCCCAAGAAGAGATTCTTCTAGGCTCAGGGGACACCCCTGCTGCCAGCAGGACCCTGCAGCCCTGCCTGACCATTGGGTCACAGCGTGGCCCTGGCTGTAGGCACAGCCCAGCCCTGGCACACAGCCTCCCCCTCCCTCCCAGCCCTAGCGCAGCTCTCAGGCTCCTCTTGGCCTGTCACACCAATAAAGTGTGACACCACTTGCCCCAGCCCTGCTCACCCCTTGGCCCAGCACAGCACGGGGGCGGCAGGGCTGGGGCATCCCAACCTTTGCCGGGGTAACAGCACCCCTTGGCACAGCCATTCCACCCCTGGCCATGGGAACATGGGTGTATAAAGGGGGTGCTTGGGGCTGCAAACCCACGGTGTGGGGGCACAGCTGATGGTGGCAGGGGGCACAGGCACGGGTGCACACAGAAACATGGATACCCCTCTGGATGGGTCAAGTCAGTGTGGGGACACAGGTAGGGACAGCTGGATGGACAGCTGGATGCTGAGGCTGGCTGTGCCCCCACCACCCCCTCAGTGCCTTGGCACTGCCAGAGGTGGCCCCAAACCAGTCTTGGGGGACAAAGCACCCTGAAGCCTCACTTGGGTTCTGTGACCGTGCACTGGGCATGGGGGCTGTTTTATGGACCTGCCGCCTCTGACTAAAACCCAGGCTGAGGCTGGATCCCTGTGCCCCCAGTCTTCTTCTTAACCCCTTGAGGAATTGCCACAGGCAGGGTGGCCCTGCTAAGTCCACCGTCCCTCCCTGGGGTGCTGGTGGCCACCCTCTGCCTGTTTTCCTTGTGCCCTGGTGGGTGGGCACCCTGCCACGGTCTCCTTGAGCTAACCCTGTCAGTGTTTCACTCTTGACAGTATGTGGGCACACACCCCCTGAGGACATGATGGGGTCCCACCTGGGATTGTCTGGGGGCAGCTGGCTCGTGCCCAGGGGAGGGCTGGGGGTGGCCTGGCATTGCCCACCCCTCTGTGCTGCCCTGCCAGCTGGGATAGGGGGAACCAGGCAGGGTGGGCACTCCTCCACCCCATCACCCATCTGTTCTTCCGCCTGTGCCCCCACCCACCCACCCATCCACCTGTCTCTGCCTCCATCCACCTGCTCACCCTGGGGTGGTCCTGAGTCCTGGGCACAGGGACATGCCTGTCCTTTGCCACGGTGCTCCCGGAGGTGGTGGCTGCTGGGTGTGGTGGGGTGACACTGCCTGAGCCAGGGGAGTGGTACCACCTGCCAGGGGTGACAGGAGTCACGTTGCCATGGTGCTTGGTGCCACTTTGTCCTCTTGGGGCCAATAAAGACGCCTGCTGCCTTGGGTGCAGAGTGCAGGCACGATAGCAGCAGGTGACAAAAGCTCGCCTCCAGGAGCAGGCTCCAGACGTTCCCCAGCCCTCTGCCCAAAAATGCAGAAGCTCTTGCAGCCCCTGTCGCTCCTGGTCCTGCTTGTCCTCGCTTCCACCGCCCAGGGACAGACTGGTAAGTGCCCCCGTGCCACTCTGTGCCCTTGGGTACCTGGGGAGGTGGCCGGGCCTCCCCCCAGGCATCAGATCAGCCTCTGGGAGACCTTTCCAGTGGGACCAGTCTGTCCCAGTGCTCCAACAGTAACTTTTGGGGGCAGAGCAGAAAGATCTGGAGACACCCACCTGCTGCCCCAGTGCTCCCCACTGCACTGGGGACGGGTGAGCTGTGTCAGGAGTGGCTTCCTTGGTACCCAAGGGACACTGGGGAGGGGGAACAGTGAGTGTCTGCCAGTGTCCCATCCCATGGGGGGGGTCTCATCTCGTGGGGGGGTCCCATCCCCTGGAGGATGGAGCTCCCCTGAAGCTGTCCCCATCCCTGTCTTTTCCCTTGCCTGTCCCCTGGCCATGCAGGCACGGGCCCCAAGGTGCTGCAGCCGTGGCTCATTGGCCTCACGGCCGTCGTCGTCTTCCTCTTCGTTGTCTTCATCGTGCTGCTCATTAACCGGGTCTGGAGTCTCAGGAAGAAGAGGTTGGATTGGTGTGGGGGGCGGGGGGTGCTGGCCAGGGGAAAACTGCGTGGAAGGTTGCCATGGGCTGGGGCAGGATTGTCCCCGGGCACCGTTTAGCCTCTCTCCCCTCGCAGGAAGGAGAACGACCATCCGGAGACCCTGGAGACTGACAGGTACCACAGCCCGGGTACCGCGGGGCAGCACCGGGACCCCTCCGCACACCGGGGCCACGGCCCCGGTGCCGGAGCAGTGCCCGGCTGACCGACGTTCCCTCCCTCCCTCCCGCAGGCTGGAGCGCTCCGGCCACGTCAACCCGGCGGCTGAGGACTGGGAAGAGATGAGGGACGACAAGCATGAGAGCAAGCCCGCGGCCACATCCCTCTGAGTGCTCCCGCATCCCTGTGCCCGCTCCGGAGCGCCTCTGACGGGCGCCGCACCCTCACCCCGTCCGCGGGCCGGGGATCCGCGCCGGGTTTCGGCGACAGCCGCGGCCACCGTGGCACCTCCCGCCCGCGGCCGGCCCGGCTGGGACCAAGACCCGGCGCGGATCACCCGCTCGCCGGAGCTGAACGGGAGGGCGGCGGCAGCGGGGCCTCCCCATGCCCCCGACCTGGGCCGGCGGGGTCCCGGCCCGGGGGCACGAGGAGAGCCCCATCCCCAGATGTGCCCACTAAAGGTTTCCCCAGCCTACTCCGGCGTCAGGCGTGTCGTGTCACCGCGCGGGGAGGGGGCTGTCCCGCAGCCCTGGGTGCCACTCGGGCAGGGAACAATGGCCGGTTCCTCGGCAGGGCGGGGGCCGGTGTCCAGCCCCCATCGCTGCCAGGCCAGCCTGGAGCGAGGGGGGTGGGCACCGAGGGGGACACGGGGGCGTGGGGACAGCCCTGAGGCTGTCCTGAGCACTGCTTGGGGACCGTGGGCACCGCGGGGGTGAAGCGCAGCTTCGGCCAACGCCGATCTACGGGTGACGTCAGTGACGTTACACCCCCAGGCGGTGACGTCACGCGCATGAGGTGGTGACGTCCCGTGGCCAAGTGTGAAGCAGAGGAGGCGGCGGCAGCTCCGAGCTCCCACGTGAGCCGCGGCTGCCCCACCCGTGTCCTGTCCCCTGCGGGCTCCCTGCTCCGTCCCCTCCTCTGCCGGGCCAAGGGCGGCCATGGGGGGGTCCCTCCTCTGGGTGCCCCCCGCGGGACAGGGCTCTGCTCTGCCCGGTGCCCCCCGTGCCCTCCTCCCCCACTGGGACACCCGTGTTCCCCCCGCTTGGGCACCGTGCCCCAGTTCCCCTGGGGCAGCGAAGGAAGGGCGGAGGCCAGCTGGAGTTGAAGCATAGCTTGTTTAATTTTTATACATTTTTTTTTTTGTCTTTTTTTTTCGTTTTCATTTTTTAATCTTTTTTTGTGTGTCAGTTTTTTCTTTTTTGTTTTTTTCTTCTTTTTTGTCTCTTTTTTCTCTTTTTTGCATAGGGGAGGGGGGGGAAACAACAACAACAACAAAAAAAAACAACGGGAAAAAAAAAACAAAAACAACAAAACCAAAACAAAAGAAACAAAACAAAAAAGAAAACCAAAAAAAAAACCCCAAAATCCGTATCAGGGTCAGTAAGTGTATGTAGGCAGGAGCGGCGCTATCGGTAATGGCTGCGTACAATGGTATAATCAAATATCGTGAAGCACCAGGGAGGCGAGCGGGGGTCGGGGGGGTCATGCGGGGCCAGGGGGCGCGGGGGGCGCGGGGGGCCCGGCCCCGGCCCGCGGCCCTGGTGCGCTCGCGGTGTGTATCGGCTGCGGCAAAGCGAAAGCGAGAATCCGGCGAACGAGTAAAATATAACTGCGGGGAGGGGGCACCCCCGGCCCCGGGGGAGCGGGGACCCCCCGAAAAGGCGGGCGGGGCAGCCGGCGGCGCGGAGGCACTGCGGCGGGATTTTTGGTTTGGGTAAGAGGCGCGGTCCGGCCGGCTGCCGCCTCGGCGCCTTTTTGGGGCGGTTTCTGTCCTTTTGCCGCTCTTTGCCCAGGGATGGGATTTCCCCCAACCCCGGCTCCACCTCCCGCCTGCCCCCGGGCGTCGCGCGGGGCGCCCAGCGGGGCACGCGGTACCCATGGACCGGGCACCCCTGGGCATCGCCTGGGGCACCCGGAGGGGCATTGGTGGGTACTGCTCGAGGCACCCTGCGGGGCACCCGTGAGCACCACTTGGGGCACCCAGAGAGGCCCCCGCGGGCATCACCTGGAGCACCCAGAGGGGCATCATCTGGAGCACCCATGGGACCCCCACGGGCACCAGATGGGGCACCCACGGTGATACCCACGGGCACCCAGAGAGTCACCATGGGCCTCTCCCGGGGCACCCATCCCAGCCGGTGGTGGGATACCCGGGGGGGGCAGAAAGCAGCAAATTCCTAACTCCGAGTACAAAAAAAAACCAACCAAAACAAAACAAAAACAGAACCAAACAAAAACCAAAATTAAAAAAAAAAAAAAAAAGGAAAAAGCCCAAACTCCACCAAACAAGACATATATATATATATATATACATATACATATACATATATATATATGTATGAGATTTTATATATATATATATTCCTTTGCGATTTAAAGTACCTTAACTGTGTGGGGGCCCGCGCCCCCCCCCCCGGCCCTGCAGCCCCATATATATATATGTGGAGATATATATATATATATATGTACAGGTTATTTGTTTTATTTATAGGTCACAAGGACTATTTTTAATTAATTTTTTTAAGCCGACGAGCCCGACTAAAAACCCTCTAGGAGAGACTGTAGTGCATGAAACCCCCGCGGTGATTGTCGAGCGGAGCCCCCTCGTATCCCCATCCTGCGGGGGCCCCCCCAGAGCTTCCCCAGGGATGGGGTGTTCTCCACCCCGGCTTTGCGCTCACCCGACCATCGAGGCCGCCAGAAGATAAAAAAAAAAGAAGGGAGAATGATTAAAAAAATAGAAATAATAAAAATGAGTGGTGCCCCCCTCCCCCGCGGAGGGACCGGGGGTGTTGCATATTCCCTTTGGGCAGAGCCGGGGGCGCGGCCCCGGGGGTGTCGGGGGAGCAGTGCAAAGACCCCGGGGGCACGGGGGGCTCCCCGGCCCCGCAAGGGGAAACCCCGGCACGCCCCCCCCAGTGCCGCCCTACGGGCTGGGGGGCGTCGAGTTGATTCTTTTTTGCCTTTTTAAATTTGGTTTTAAGGTGCTTTTCTTGCCGAGGGCGGGTTTTGGGGGGCTGCGGCCGCAGCCCGGCCGGACTTGCAGCCGGCCCGGGGGGTGGGGAGGCAGCAAAGAGGGGGCAGGGGCGGCCCCGGCAGGGTCCCCGCGGGGACCGGGGGCTCCGGGGCTTCCTCGGGGCGGGGGGCCCAGGCCCGAGGGGCGCCAGCGCCCCTCGCCTCCCCGGGGCTGGCCGGAGGGGCTGCCCCGGTGCCCCCGCTCCCTCCCTCCGCTGTCACTGTCACCGTTTAAAAATGTGTTTGTTTTTTTTTTTTTAATATTTTTTGCTTTGAGCTGAGCCTTTTCCAGCTTTAACCCCCCCTTCTTTTTTTTTTTTTTTTTGTTGTTTTTCTATTAAAAAACCCTCTCTCTCTTTTTTATAATTTTGTCTTCTTTTCCCCCTCTTTTTTTTTTTTAATTCTTATATTTCATTCCTCCGCCCCCACCCCCCCGCCCTAGCTGGACGCCGCCCCCACTCCCTCCTTGCATTGTCCTTGCAGAAATCAATACTGCACCTTGCATAAAGAAGCGTCTCCCAAGGCTCCCCCCAAGGGTCTGGGACCCTCAAACCAGCCTCAACTGTGGGCGAAACCCGGCGGGACGCGACCACCCCGTCACCCCCTTCTAATACTTTTGGACACCAAAAAAAAAACCAAAAGAAAAAAAAAAGAACAAAACCAAAACAAACAAACAAACAAAAATTAAAAACTGTTGACGACGACGTTTCTTCATGCCCGAGCAGCAGCGATGCCGGTGCCACCCACCCACCGGTGTCACAACCCGCGTCACTTCTCAGCCCCAGGGAGCTCGGGGGTCTCCAGCCGGCGGAACGCTGGGGTTTTAAGGCAAATTCAGGGTTTTTAGGAGGTGTCGGGCCCCTGCTCGGCAGCGGGCACAGCAGGGACAGGCGGCAAGAAGGCACCTCCTGCCGCTCCCTGCCGCGCCAGCCGCACCCCGGGGATGAACCGCTGGGGTGGAGGTGGGGGGAGGCTGCGACCCCCCTGTCCCCAGCCCGGGGGGGCTCAGCTACATTCACACGGTTCCATTCCTGTCACGAGAGCAGCCGGGCTCAGCCCTCCTGGCCCTGCGCCCCGCTGAAAACCAATGAAAAACTGGGGGTGCCCTAAGGGGGAGCGGGGGGAGCCGTGCCCGGCCCGGATCAGCCCCGCGGGTCCCGCCCCGCTCCGCCCGCACGGAGCCCCGCGCACCCCGCTCGGCCCTGCCCCGCCCGGACACCGCGTCCCCCCCGAGGGGCTCCCTGCCGCCTCCCGCCTCGCTGCCTTTGGTTGCTGGAAGCAGAAAAAACAAATCAAAACCCCCCAAAAGGGAAGGAAAACAAAGAAAAGAGAGGCAAAGCAAAGGGGTGGCCGCCCCCCCGGCCGGCCCCCCCACAGCTATTGCATATTCCGGTGTGTTGGCGCAGAGGATGCATCGGTATTACCAACTGGAAGACGTTTCTGAGGGGGAAAATCGGTTAAAAAAGAAGAAGAATAGAGAGAAAAAGGGACTTTTCCGGCCGAGAAGAAGCCATGCAGGAGGCGAGGGGGGGGCAGCGGCCCCCGGCCCCCCCGGCCCCCCGGGAGCCCCGGGCATGCAGCGACTCCCTCGCACTGATATCGGGTCCAGTAATACTTAGGCTTCGAAGGCAAGGCACATCATGTGGTATAAAATTTCGTGCAAATTAGGAAAACATGGATTTTTTTTCTTGTGTGTTTTTTTTTTTTTTTTACGGCTGTTTTTTTTTTCTTTTATACAGATTTTTTTGTTGTTTTTTTCCTCTTTTTTTTTTCTCTTTTGCTGAAGGGGAAGGTAGAGCCGGTTAATAAGAGTCTGCCATGCACAGCATCAGCCAGCCGCGGCTGGGTTGAGCCAGGTCACCAGATCCTGTTAAAGCACCATGCAGTTTATTTGTCTTTTTTTTTTTTTTTGTCTTTTTGTCTTTTTTTATGTGTTTCTTTTCTCAGATCTTAAAAAAAAAAACAGGTTTCCCTCTCCGCCAAGCGCTTTTTTTTGTTGTTTTTTCTTTTCTTTTTTTTTCTTTTTTTTTTCTTTTTTTTTTTTGGTGGGTTTTCTCCTTTTCTTGTCCTTTTTTATTATTTTTCTGTCTCCCGGGATTTCCTGCGTCAGCCCTTTCCCCGGTGTCTCGTTGTGCCGTCCCGGGGGGTGGGGGAAGCGGGGGGAAGCGGGGGGGAAGCGGGGGCCACTGGGATGGGGGATGCGATGCCGCTGGTCCTCCTCGGGGCAGCTCTGGGTGCCAGGGGACGGGGCCAGGCGGGTGGCGACGGTGGCCTCGGTGACATCCCCTGGAGCTCCTGGACCTCCACGGTGGCTTCTTTCCATCAGCACCTTAGGGTGTCCCCTGGGCCGGAGATCCTTTGGGGATCAGTCTCCTCATCTCGCGGGGGACAACGGGCACCTTCGTCCTCTTCCTCCTCCTCGCCTCGGCCGTCGCGGGGGTCCCTCTGCTCTAAGGCACTGCCACTGCGTCCCCTTCCCGGCCACGCTGTCACCGCACGGGACGGGGGCGGCCGAGCGCTCCCTCCCGCGCTGCCCCGGCCGGGGGCTCCTCCGGGACCCCTCCCCGCCGCAGTTCAGGCACTTGACGCGGGGCCGGGGGCTCCGGGGGGCTCCGGGGGGCTCCGGGGGGTTGGCTCTGCCCTCGCCGTCGCTCGGGCTTCTTTGCTCCATCCTTTTGTATTAAAAATAAAAGCAAAAAAAAAAAAAAAAGCCAAACCCAAAAAAAAAAAAACAAAACCACCAAACCCAAAAACGCCAAACCAGCCGTCCCGGCAAGCCGGTGCCGGGGACTCCACCTCCTCCTCCTCTTCCTCTTCCCCTTTTTTTGTGATTTTGTTTTCTTTTCTCTTCTTCTTTTTCCTTTTTTTTTTTTTTTTTTTTTGATGATTCCCTCTTAAAAGTGCATTTCCTACAAAATGTGCAACACGAGCGCACCCTGCCTCCCCCCGGTACCTGTCCACAGGAATGCATAGCTCAAACACACGGACGCACGCCCCCCCTCCCCAGCCCCGCGGAACCCTCGGGCGCGGGGACACGGCTGGGGACACAGGGACACGGCTGGGGACACAACGGGGCCCGGGCCGGTGCAGGCTTGGGGGAGGAAGGCGACCAGGGAGAGATGGTGACCGGTGCCTCGGCGCGACGGTGGCCGCCGGGCTGCGACAGTCCCCGTGCCGCGTCCCCGCTGGCACCCGGGTGCCACCGCCGCTGTGACGCGTGGGGCCGGGGTGGGAGCGTCCCGACACCGTGTCCGAGCGGGAACCGAGGTGCCACCGCCGCCGCGACCATCTCTGGCCGTGCCCATGCACCCTCTGTGGTCACAAGCCCCCTCCTCCTGTGCCACCCGCTCGATCCACTGTGCCACCGCACAACTGTCACCGCAGCGCGATGTCACCGCAGCGCGATGTCACTGTCCCCGGGGCGATCGCACAGCACCGAGCGCCACCCGCCGACCGGGCGCCCCCCCCTTCCCCGCGGGGCTGCGGCAGCGGGAGGGGTTCCCGGGAGGGGTTCCCAGGAGGGGCTCCCCGGGAGGGGTTCCCGGGAGGGGTTCCCAGGAGGGGTTCCCGAGAGGGGCTCCCCGGGAGGGGTCCCGGGAGGGGTTCCCGGGAGGGGTCCCCGGGAGGGGTCCCGGGAGGGGTTCCCGGGAGGGGTCCCGGGAGGGGTTCCCGGGGTTCCCCGCCCCAGCCCCGCGAATCCCCGACAGTCTGGGGCCGGGGGGTCGGCGGGGGAGGTTTTGATCTTTTTTACTCACATAGAGGCAAGAACGAGAGAGTCAAAGCCGTTTGCATATTCGGCGAGCGGCCGGCGGGGCCGGGAGGCGGTGCTGGCACCGCTCGTGTCAGGTCCCAGCGCGGCGCCGGCCCACGGGGTAAATAATAGTGTTTTTTCTTTCTTCTTTTTTTTTTTTGTCTTTTTTTCCTGTTTCTTTGTTTTCTGGCGCATCGCCGAGGTGGGGGGAAAGGTCCTCCTGGGATGGGTTGTTGGTTTGTTTGTTTTTTGTTTGTGGGGTTTTGTTTTTTGTTTTTTCCATTTTTCAACAGTTTGACCCTTTTCCTTCTTCCTTTCCCTTGCTCTTTCCTTCGGGTGTGGGTTTTGCTTGTCGTCGTTGTCGTCGTCGTCGTCGTGAGGCCGCACTCTCCGTCGTCACCGCAAGGCTGGGCCTGGTGCTCGGGGACGGGGATGTTCCTCTGGGGGTGCCTAAAGCAGAGGAGAAGGGAGGCGAAGGGGCGGCACGGCGGCGGTTATCCCAGGTACCAGGACTGCGGGAGAGAGGAGAGAGGCCGATGTTAGTGCTCTGCCCCCGCAGCTGCCCCGTCCTCCCGCCGGTCCCCAGAGCCCGACACAGCTGTCCCTGCGCTGTCCCTGCGCTGTCCCTGCGCTGTTCCTGCGCTGTCCCTGCTCGGCGCACGGGGCTCGGTCCCCACTCCTGCGCTGAGTTTGTCCGTCCTCTGCACCGCGGCCACCCGCGTTCCCCTGGGGCCAGTCCCTCCGCACCTTCACGGCAAAGGGAGGCTCTCCCGCAGGGCCGCCTGGGGACAGGTAGGGGGGTGGCACGGCTGGGGACCCCGCGAGGTGGCCCCCTGCCACCCTCCCATTGTTTCCCCCCCAGCCCCAAGTTCAAGTTCATTCCCGATTACCTCATGTCTGGTTTCCGTTGGAAACGAGACAGCTCGGGGCCGCTGCTTCCCTTAACCCTTCCAGGCCCCACCACACATGACCAGAGCGTGGCAGGTCTCAGCTGCCCCTCCTGGGACACCAACTCCTACCCCCGTGCCTCAGTTTCCCCAGGCAGAGCATCCTCGAGCCCTGGGGAGCCTCCCTGAGCATGACTAGGGACACCCATTCACAGGGACCCTGGGGGTCCTGGGACTGCGAGGGGCTCTGACCCCTATCTCTGGACAGGGACTCTGGCCCCATGCTCCTCCAAGGCTCTCCTGGTGCTGCCCCAGGTCTCCTCTTTAGGGACCCAAGGCCATTGGAGTGCTGCCCACCCCATGTGCAGGGAAACTGAGGCAGGCTGGGGGGTGTGATCAGAGCCGGGTCCCCCGTGTTTTTCCTCTGGAACGGCACAGCACCCTCGGGTGTCCCAGCTCATGGTTCCCAAATCTCACAGCCTGGCACAGCACAGCACCCCCAGGTACCCTGTGTCACTGCTCACAGCCCCCAGGTGCCCACCCGGCACAGCACAGCACCCTGAGTACCCCCCCCCCCCCCCCCAGCCAGGGCAGCACCCCAGGGTGCCCCAACACGGCACTGTCCACACCCCATCCCTCTGTCCTGTCACCTGTGTCACCTGCCAGGCAGGACTGCAGCTGCCCCTGCAGTGAATGCTGAGGCCAGACCACTCGTGTCACAAGTGAGGCCAGGAGCTGCCACCCCTGTCCTGGCACCATGGCACTGCCTGCAGCACCAGTGCCAGCTCCAGAATCCAGGACTAATGGAAAGCCCCTGGAAAGGCACACACGACCTCCTGCTGCAGCTGGAGTGGCCACGGGCACAGCTGAGCGAGAGCAGTGCCCGTGCCCACACTGAGAGGGACCCACGGCCCTGGTGCTACTCCTTTGGGGATGTCCTGGGCACCTAGGCAGGGTGGTGCCAGGGGGTGCCAGGCAGGACGCAGCCAGAGCACAGCAGTGACCTCCATGATGGATGACTCGTGGTGGCCCTGAGCCACCAGCAGTGCCTAAAGCCCTGGCACCGGGTGCCCGTAGCGAGGATGTCACGGCAGCAATGCCCATGGGCTGCAGCAGTGATGCCAAGGCAGTGATGCTCACAGCAGCAAAGCTGGCAGTGACAGTGCCAGAGCTGCAGTGCCATGGTGGTGATGCCGATGGTGGCACTGCACATGGAAATAACCCCACAATGGTGACGTACACAGCAGTGGTACCCAAAGTGGCATTGCCACAGTAGCAACACCCATGGCAGTGATGCCATGGTGGGGACGCCCACAACAGCAATGTCTGCAGTGGCCAGGCCAGTGGTGGCAATGCCCACAGCGCTGATGCCACTGCTGTGGTGATTCTCCTTGTGGCCTCAGACATGGTGGCAAGGCCACAGCAGCGATGGCCACAGAGGTTACATCCACAATGTCCCACAGCAGTGATGCCACAGTGGCGATACCCACGGTAGTGCCCACAGCAGCAATGCCCACAGGAGCAATAAACATGGCAGCAATGCCACGGCGGTGATGCTGTGGTGGCAAGGCCCATGGCAGTGATGCCATGGTGGCAATGCCCTCAGCAGCGATGCCAGGGCAGCGATGCCATGGCAGCGATGCCACGGCACCATGGCATGATGCCAGGGGCACCATGGCCGGGAAGCCCACATCAGCAATGTCACATCAGCGACAGCCACAATGGCAATGCCAGCACTGGCCATGCCCACGGTGATGCCATGGCGAGGGTGCCCGGGGCGAGGGCAGGAGGGTCCCCCCAGCAGCATCCCCGCTCTCACCTGTGCCTGATAGATACTCCCAGGATCCCTTGGTCCTAATCCCACGAAGGAACGGTTCGCAGGGGGCGTGCCTGGTGCAGAGTAGGCTGGGGAACAAACGAGAGCTCATTAACGGGGCTGTGGGTGGCACTGCCATTGTCCCCCCAGGGGCCAGGCCCGGCCCTCTCCCTGGCACTGTTGGGACGGAGCTCCCTGGCACCCGGTGCTGGCGACCAGGCGACGTCCCTGGCTGTGACCTGCTGGCAGGCGAATGGACCCAGGGGTGCTGCACCCAGGGGTGCTGTGCTCGGACGGTGCCACCCTGAGGCTGGAGGGGCGAGGTGCCCCGGGATGCAGGCGCAGATGGTGCCCCTGGCTGTGTCCGCGCTGTGGCTCCCAGACCTGAGCTGCCACGGGGGGAACAATGGCAGTCTCCAGTTCCACTTGGCCGTGTCACCCTGCTGCCACCTCATCCCTCAGCTGGGGATCCCTCAGCAGTGGGACCTCCAGCCCGGCTGAGCCTCTGGGTTCAGACCTGCTGGAAGCAGAGTGCTGCCAAGGGGAATGGGGGATTTGGAGCCAGCTGCACCCCCTGGGCACAGCCAGTGTCCTCCTACCGCATCCTGCCCTGAGCCTGCAGGAACTTGCACTCCTCTGTCCCTCTCCAAGGCTGTGACCCCATTATCAGCCAGGCCATCCCATGCTGTCCCCTCCAGATTGTCCAGGCTTTGGCTTCTCCATGCCCTGGGATCTCCACCCCTGCTGACCAGCTGCTGACAATCAGCCATGGCCCATTACCCAGGGACAACGGCTCCATCAGGCAGGGCTTGACTGTGTGGGGACACAGCAGCCACTCGGGGTACCATGTCCCATGGGTACAGCAGGATGGGAACAGGAACACCCCCCTCACAGAGTGTGGCGACGGCACAGTGTCCCACCACTGCAGCACACACCCCCGTGCCAGGCTGGGGTGACACCAACTCCCCTCTGGCTGCTGGGCCCAGCACCCAAAACCCTCCTGGCCAAGGCACTTATGGCCCCTGAGGTGGAGGGGAGGCCAAGGAATTTGTCAGCCACCATGCTAACAAACCCCCAGGTGCCACCTGCGAAGCGCTCTGGGGGACCCACACACAGTTCCTGCTCTGGTGTCACCTCACATCCCCAGCAAGATCAGAATCCCCGGCGCCAAGGACCCCCATGGCAGCAAGAGTACAAGAGCCCACACAACACAGCAGGCACACTGTCCCTAGTCCCAGTGCCACCCGCGTGCCAGCTGCTCCCCGTTCCCGGCAGCACAGCCACCACCATGGTGGGATAAACAGACACGGAGAGACCATGGCCTCCCCCACAGCACTGCCCACACCGAGGGTCTGGGCAGGACACTGCTTTGGAGAGCCCTGCCACGGCTCCACTCATGCTCAGAGGGACAAGGGGCTCGAGCTGGTCCCTGGGACCAGCACACAACCCCTCGGCTCAGCGGCCACCGGCCCAAACCCTGTCCGCTCCGACCTGCCTGAGACCCAGCAAACTCATGGCGTGCCGGCTGCCGCCCTCTCCCCGGCTGCGGGGAGGCCACCTCCGCCAACATCCCCCCAGCACGGGACAGGGGGACACCCTGGGGGGCTGTGAGAGGAGGGGCCAGCCGGGCCGGGGAGCAGGGTGGGCGCCGCGGGTGCTTACTGGGTGATGTCGGCGAGGTCGTCCCTCCCTCGGAAGTTGTCGTGGTGGATTTGGTGTCAGGAGAGACGGCCAAGCGGGGCATGCCGGGGGGAGGTGGCGGCGCCAGCATCTGCGTGGGCAGGTAGTGGCTGGGCACTTTCACTTGACCACTTCCATTTAACTGGGGACAACACAGACAAAAAACAAACAGCACAAGCCATTAGGATGCACGCGCACAGCAGCACGGCCGGGGAGCCCCGGGGACAGCCCCGGCACAGGCACGGGGTGTCCCTCACTGCACACATGAGTTTGGTGGGTCTCAGAGCAGCCCTGAACGGTCGGCGCTGGCAGCAGGCAGGAAATGACGGCGGGACAGGAGGGGTTTGGGGGCTGTGGGGGCCATGCTCCGTGGGGGTCATGACGCAGAGTGGCGCACGCTGCAGCTGGGACCCCTCTCTACAGTGACAGGGGCGTCTCTGAAGCACTCCTTGGAGGGGTAGGGGCACCCAGAGCCTCCAAAGGCTCCTGCACCAGTGCTCCGTGCCCAAGCTGGCCGTGGGCTGCTCCTGATCCGGTTCCAACAGCCCAGCACTGAGCCACCACACAGGGGAACAGTGGCCATGCCCCTCACCCTGGCATCAGCCCCTGCTGGTGAGGGGAAACAGGAAAGTGGGGGGCAGAGGTCAGTCAGAAGGGCTCCCCAAGAGCTCAGCATCTGGGAGGACAAAGGGGGGCACAGGACAGTATGGGAGCAGGAACACCCCCAGGCTCTGGCTTCGGGTATGAAGGGTGCCCTCCATGGGGTGTGTTGTGTGTTGTGGGCTCTGGGTGTATGGGGTGATGGTTTGGGTGCTGCACTCATTGGGTACTGTGTGTGCACGGTGCTGGTTACAGAGGCTGTTTGGTGATGGGAGCATGGGCTGTGGGGTGATGGCTGTGTGGGGTCCATGTCTGTGGGGTGCACTGGGTGCATGGGAGTGCAGAGCACTCTAACAAGGGAAAGCCCACAGCAGCACAGTGTGGCTCTGCCACCCCTGTGGGGACACGAGTACAGCTCCAGAGGAGCTGACAAGTCACCCGTGGGCTCTGCAGGTGGATGGGGCACATCAAGCCCATCACTCTCCAGGACACGCTGGCGGACGGTGATTCCAGGAGATGGTCACACACCCCTGGCAGACACCTTGCTCCCCCTAACACCCCAGCACCGGCTGACGGCTCAGCCCCAGCACCCCGACACCCGCAGTGCCCCGTGCTGGGCCGGGGCACAGCACCTCCATCGCCGCAGACACGAGGTGCCAACACGGAGCAGGCGCAGCAGCGCTCCCGAACCAACGCACGGCACGGCTGGAGCTCAGCCCCAGAGAACACCCCGCCGGTGCCACCGGAAGACCCCGATCCCCCCCATGCGGCGGCAGAGGTGACAGCGGCGGCGCCGGTGCAGGGGACTCTCCTCGGGCAGCCCGGCTGGCAGCAGCCCCCGGTGCCCACGGACAAGGCTGCGTCCTTACCGGTCCGGGCTGCTGGTTGGACGGGTCGCAGGCCAGCGAGACGAGATCTTTGAGCGGGTCCTGCGGGTTGAGATGAGGCGGGTACCGGATGGCCGTGTGCGGGAAGTAGGTGGAGGCCGTCTGGGGAAGGATGGAGGTGGTGGGGAAATGCAGCGCAGACGATGGGTGCGGGCTTCGGGCGATACCTGCGGGTGACAGCAAAAGGGGACACACACCTGTGTCACTAGCTAGTGGCTGCCCCAGCCCCCCGACCCCTCAGCGCTCACTCTGTGCCTCGGTTTCCCTGGCAGGACACTCACCACTGTGCACAGCGATGACGGGACGGTGGTGCTGCGTGAAGCTGCTCAGCCGGGGCGAGGAGTCCTGGGGTGATGGGCTGTTGAAGGGGGACTTGTCCATCTCTGTCTTCTTCACAGTGGGGGAGATGCCTGGGGAAAGCAGGGGGCAACGTCAGGACCTGCCATGGGGCCCCAAGTCCCATGGCTGCTGCCATCTCAGTGCAGTGTTGGGGGAGCTCATTCCGGGGGCAGGGGGCACCCCAGGGCCAGGTGGGCATGGGGAGGGTGGTGGTGTGAGCGTGTGTGTGAGCCAGCAGGAGGGTGGGCACCTCTGGGGGCACACGTGTGTGCATGAATGTGTGTGCATGTGTGTAATGTGCCAGCACAGCTCCGTGCCTGTGTGTGCACACACACAGCTGTGCACAGATGTGTGCTCCTGCAGGTGTGTGCATGCAGGTGCACACAGCTCTGTGCGTGTGTGTCCCACCCTGGTGGCAGAAGTGGGTGCCCTCACGGATGCCACTGTGACCCTGCAGCCCCCACATGGCACCCACCTCCCCTGGCACATGGGGCTGGGGGCTACAGCAGCTCCTGGGGAGGCAGAGAGGTGCCAGCATGGGGGTGACCACCCCAGAGACCCCTGGCAGTGGCGGCTGCCCAGGTCCCCGAGGCCACCCCAGGGCATGGGGCTGAGGGGGGGGTTGGCAGGCACGTTAATCCCCTGCCTCCGTGGCTTTAGCTCTGGCCATTTGGCCCGGGCCTGGTAATGGGTTTAGCCCCTTCTCAGTCGGGCGTTAGGAGGATTTCCCAGAACATCCCGTACAGGATTGCCAAGCCCCCTTCCCGCCGCCAAGGCTGAGCCCCCCCTGCCAGCCACCCTCACCCCTGCCCGGGTCAGGCCACTGGCAGGGGACAGATGCCCTGGCACAGCTCCCTCCTGCCTCCATGCACCATTTTGGGGAGGGGGCTGCACCTTCCCCAGGACCCCCCCTGCACCAGCCCCACGGGCAGGATGGGGTACAGTCCCTGCACACACGGGACACAGTTTGGGGGCTGGACCTGCATCCCCCAAACCTCCTTCCAACAGGATTGGTGCCTCCAGCCCTCCAGCCAGGCACCCTCAGGCTCTGGCAGGGCTGGGGGGCTGCTGTGGAGCCCACCCCACCGCTGGGGGAGGAAGGAGAAGAGCCAAGAGAGGAGGAAGAGGAGCAGCTTCTTTGCCTGCACCTCGGGGTGTGGGAGCTGCTGTGCCAGCCCTGCAGCATCACTTTAATTAGCCCAGCCCCCCCTTTCTTAATGAACAGCTAATTGGGGCTTGTCTAGACAGGAAAGGGAAAAAAACCACCAAGCCAGAAAGCTGTCCACAGTGATGTGGGGCTGGGGGAGCCGACTTGGGGCTGGGAGAGGCTGGTGTGGGGCTGCCAGACAGACATGGGGCTGGAGGCTGGGTTGGCCCTACAGAGAGAACCTATGTTGAAATAGGGGTCCCTGTAGCAACACCACAGTCCCCACAGAGCTCTGCCCACAGTGGGGGGCCACAGACACGCCTGGACACTCATGGAAAGCCTGTGCCTAAATTAGGGGGGCTTGACAGCAACCCCACAGACCCCATGGAAAAGCAGCAGGAATGTTCTGGGGGACTTGAGGGTGGCACTGCAGCCCCCATGGCCGATGTGTCTTGACCTTAAGGCCCATAGGGACACTGGGGCACAGAAAGGGCCCAGATGGTCACACGGGGTTCTGGCAGTGGTTTGCAGAATGCTGGGAGCAGGATGGGGGCCCCAGGGCACTGGAAGGGCACTGGTAAGGAGGTGGCACCTACCCCCTTCCATGTCTTCTGTCCAGTTGCGGCTGCTGCTGGTGGGGGAGTTGGAGGAGGTGTAGTACTCGCCCCCAGGGCTGGTGTCAATGTCATCCTCCATGGACCCCGACTTGTGCCGTTTGCTCCTGGGGACAGGGAAGGGTCACAGAATCACGGAATGGTTTGGGTTGGAAAGAACCTTAAAGCCTATCCCATTCCACCTCTGCCATGAGCAGGGACACCTCCCACCATCCCAGGCTGCTCCAAAGCCCCGTCCAGTCTGACCTGGGACACGTCCAGGGATCCAGGGGCAGCCACAGCTGCTCTGGGCACCCTGTGCCAGGGCCTGCCCACCCTCCCAGGGAAGTGAATCCATCTAGCCCTGCCCTCTGGCAGTGGGAAGCCATTCCCCCTTGTCCTGGCACTCCATCCCTTGTCCAAGTTTCCTCTCCAACTCTCTTGGAGCCCCTTTAAACACTGGAAAGGGCTCTGAGCTCTCCCTGGAGTTTTCTTTTCTCCAGGCTGAACACCCCCAGCTCTCCCAGCTTGTCATGGGTCAGTGCCAGCCCGTGGCAGGACCTGGCTGGCCCTTGCCTTCCCTACGGCCGTGCTGGGGCTGGCCCTGGCACCACCCTGGCACAGCCCCAGTGGCACCTACCCGCTGGAGGAGGTGCTGGGCAGTGTCCTCCTCATGCCGGTGCTGGAGGGGTTCAGGTCATAGGCCAGGTGGCCCTGCAGCTCCCCCAGGGAGAAGTTTGGCCCTGTGCCCGTCACCACTGGCGCTGCAGGGAGAGAGGGGGGGTCACTGGGGCTCGGTGGGGAGGGGAGCCCCAGCCCACTGCGGGCTGGGGGGGCTGTTGGGACACTGCTGTGCCCAGGCAGCCAAGGGTTGGGCTGTGGCATCACAGTCACACTCACTTCGGGACACCTGGATGAGCTCGGTGACACTGAACACCCCCGAGGTGACGAAGCTTTCCTGGAAGTCTGTTGAATCTGTGTGGGAGAGAGGAGAGTGTGCTGAGGGGGCAACAGGACCACCCCTCCCACCCTGCACTGCCTTGTGGCGATGCTTGAGGGCACCCCAAATCCCATCTGTCCCCCTCCTTAGCTTCCACTCCACTCCCTCCTCTAGCAAGAGACCACCTCAATTGGTTCTGTCTGCTGAAGATGCCCTGGACCTGCTCAGTGCCTCAGTTTCCCTGTGCCTGAGAGTGCTGGCACGGCTTGAGGCTTCACCCCCACCATGGGAACTCCATGGCAGCTGCTGTCCCCAAGGGCTGTGGCCTCTGTGGGACTCTGCTGGGTGTAGGACAAGGCTAAGGCTATGCCCAGCTCATTGCAGGGGCCAGGCAGTGGCTGGCAGCTTGACCATATGTCATAGGCCCCCCTCCCCCGCCATGGCAGGGACCCTGGGGACAGTCTGGGGTGTCCTTTGTCCTTTTCCCAGGCCCTGCCCTCTGCACTCACCCAGCGTGATGGGTTTGCTGTCCTCCTGGTCTGAGCCAATGCCTGTCCGGGGGCTGCTGCTCTGCTCTGCATCTGCAAGAGGCAAAGCCCAGGGTGAGCCCCCCGTGCCAGTGGCAGCCTCCACACCGGTGTGAGCCAGGATTGCCACCAGCTGACTGCCCTCCCGTTGCCCTGCTGGGGGAAACTGAGGCATGGGCTGCCCAGCAGCTTTCACCACACAGCAGGGCCACCACCAAGCTGGCATGTCCCCAGCCACTGAGGAAGTCACCAACCAGCCCCCCTTGCCCTCCCTGCCAGCGACAGGAGCAGGGACAGCCCCACATGCAGGGTCTGGGCAGTGCTCCCCGCAGGAGGGGAACCCCAGGGCAGGGCTGGGTGATGGTCCCTGGCCCTGCTCCTGCCTCTTCTCCTCTCTCCAGCCACGGCCTTGACCCAGTGCTGCCCCACCAGGCAGTGTCACCGAAGCAGGGCACAACCTGTGGCACCTCGTTCTGCCTCTGCCCAGCTCGTGCAGGGCAGAAGGGCTTGGGAGAGCACCTACTCTGACCCCTGGAGCCCTGTCCAGCCCTGCTCCCTCTTGGCTAAAAATATCCTGGCTCAGACACTGAGCTCAGCAGCTCTGGCACGGCATGGCACAGCCCAGACCCTGCAGTCAGGAGCATCCTTCGTCACCTGGCTGCTCCCAAAGCCCCTCCATAACTTTTGCCATGCATTTCTCCCCCATACTCCTTCTTCCCCCTGTTTCTCCATTCTCCTCCTCCCACCCCTTGGCCTCCGGCATTTCTCTCTGGCAGCCTTGGCAGATGTCAGGAAAGGGCTGAGACAATCCAAAAACACCAACAAAACCACGCAGCTGCAACTGCCAGCCCATGTGCCCGCCTCGGGATTTTTCCCTTTCTCCCTGCTTTTCTCCTCCTTTTTCTCCCCTCAAGTACCTTGCACTCACACGTGGCTCCCAGACTGGCTGGGCAAGTTATCCATGTGGGCCCCATGCCACCCTCCACCCTGACACCCCTGTGTGCTGCCCACCAGGCAGGTTATCCATGGGGGCAGTGGGACTGTGCCATCTCCCAGCCTGTGCCATCTCACACCCCGTTGTGCCCACACTCCCCGGTACTGCTCAAGGCCGATGCCAAATCAGCCATTTTGTCTCCCTGCCCAGCTGCCGCCATCCCCTCCAGCCATCCCGTGCCAGCCTGGCACCACGCTGGCAGCGCCATGGCATCCTGCCCTGATGCTGCTCACCGCCACCAGCCCCCCCGTGCCCGCACCCCAGGCTCCCTCCAGGCAGCCATTTTAGGGAGCAGAAACTCCCCCTGGAGACGGGCGCAGGGTTTTTTCCTTCCCTTCTCTCCATTTCTCTTTTTCTAGCCCTATTCTCGCATTTTGAAGCGGCTGCACGCTCAAGTATCGGGGTGTGGGTGGTGGGAGCGAGCGGGGCACAAGCCAGCTGGGATAGGGGAGTGGCTGGGGACCCCCCCGCGCATTCATGGGCACCGCGTGGCCGGACACGGCCCCTCCTCGCCTCTAAAAACAACAAATCTGGCGGTGGCTCTGGAAGTGGTTAGCGTGGAGCCCGGCCAAGGCGCGGGACGGAGGCTGGCGGTCACAGCCTGAGGCCGGCCCGGCTCCCCACAGCCCCCAGCGTGGCCTCAGGGCTCCCGGGGACCCCAATGCCTCCCAGATGGCCCCACCTGCCCGGTCCTGGGTGCTTGGCCTCTGGGTGCCTCCCCAGGCCGTGCCCTCGCCTGGTGCCTCTGAGGTGCCTACGCAGCCTTTGGCTCAGCCCAGGGACCCCCACCACTCGTCCTGAGGTGCCCCACATGGAGCTTAGCCCACACCAAACCACCCAGCCTGGTCCCTGTTCCCCCAGGGCACTCGGGAGGGCCATCACCGGCCCTGGGTGCCCCAGGTGGGCCCCACGGCCCTGTACCCCCACACCGTGCCACGGCACCGCCCTGACCCGGCATCGCCAGTGCCCCTCACCGACCCCTGCTGCTGAGGGACCCTGGGGAGCTGTCCCCAAACCGAGCACTCGGCTCTCCTCGCAGGAGCCCGAGCAGCAGCCGGGACTTTCCCGAGGAGCTCGGAGCTCCGGCAGCAGGGCCGGCCCCTCGCTGCCCCCTCTGTCCGGGCTGATGGAGGTGGTGGGTGCGAGGCCGGGGCCGGGGCTCGGCACAGCCGGGGCTCGGCACCCCCGGCGCTCCCCGTGGCTGGGCGGGCGAGCTCGCCAGCAGATTTCTGGCTGCCTCCTCGGCGCGGGGCGGTCGGGCCAAGCGCTGCTCTCACCGCCATGTGACGGCCGCCTGCGCCGGCTGGCGCGCTAAAATGGCGAAGGGAGCCCCGGGCTCACGGGCCGCGCTCCCCACAAGGGGTGTTTGGGGGAGACTGCAAACCCAACAAGTGGCCCGACTGCACCAGAGAGGAGAAAGAAGCCTGTAAAGCTCCCCCATGCCCCCGCTGCTTCGTTGATCCTGCGCCCTCCACCCCCTCAGGAGGCCGGGATGGGGGATGGAGGTGGGGTAGTCCTGCTGCCAAACTGTGGGGAGCTCAGCGGGGAGGGGGTTCAGTGCCGGGGTCGTCTCCGGCGAGGCAGAGGAGAGTGCTCAGTGCCCAAACAGGTCGATCCAATCTCTTTTAAAAATAGCCAAGTGTGTGCCCGGGGGGGCGCGGGCTGCCTGGGCTCCGGGCCGCGCTGGCAGCCTGGCCCCGTGCCATCCATTGAATTGCGGATCCCGCACCCCGGCCCCGCTGGCTGGCACGGTGCCCCCGGGCCCCAAGCGACACCCGCCCGCGGTCTCAGCGCGTGGGAACGACCCTCGGGCAGCAGGGCCGGCCCTGGGGGGTGTCACTGCAGGCCGGGTGCCCCCCGGGGCTGGCGCAGCTGCGGGAGAGCCCTGGCTCGGTGCCCGAGCGCTGACGGTAACAGGGCACGGTGTTACCGGCAGCGGCGCGGGCGCAGGCGCAGAGGCTGGAGGATGCCGGGGGCTGGGGGAGCTGCTGGCGCCGGTGTGTGCAGTCCCAGCCCCTCATCGAGGGCAGCAGCCTTCCCCCTTTTCCCCAGCTCTGCCAGTCGAGGGCAGGGAATGGGAGAGAGTTCAGCACTGCTGCCTGCAGGCTTCTGCCCCGTGCCTCAGTTTCCCTTGGGGCTGGCTGGAGGGAAACTGCCCCCCTGCCTCATGTTCCGTGGCACAGAGCCCCAGCACCTCCTCAGGTGTCACTGCATTCCTCCGGCTGCCCACGGCGACAGCATGGACCAGTGGGGCCTGGACTGAACAGCCTAGTCATAGTGGAAGACCCCTGGAGACCGGAGGGAGCCAATGTGCGGTGGGGCAGATCCCACTGCAAGGGCTGGAGCGAGTGAGGTTGCAGAAGGGTGTGATTTGGGGGCCTTGCCCTGTCAGACCCCCAGAACTCCTCATCCCAGTCTCGCACTGACCCCAGGTCCGAGCGGCACCGCCTGTTCCGCTGCCCGTCCCACTGTCCATCCATCCCTCTGCCGCCAGGCTGGGGTGGCCCTTACATAAACCCGGAACAGTCCTGCTTGTGTAACCTCCTTTATATAATACCCTGAACCGCCGCGTGTGCCGGGTAAATCCTGGCTGAGCCGGGCCGGCCGGCGCGCCGGGGCGCGGGACCCCCCCCCTCCCGCTCCTCGCCGCGCCCCCCGCCATGCCCGGAGCGCTGCGGGGCTGCGGGGTGAGGCGGCTCCGCTGGGCCTTGGCCACCAGCGCTGCGGGGGCGGCAGCTCCTCCTCCCCCTGCCGAGCGGAGCCCCGGGGAGGTCCTGGCCGGAGGCATCCCCCGAGGTGGCGGGGCGGTGGCGGGGGGGACGGACGCGCCCCGCTGCCACGTACGCCAGCCGCGGCCAGCTGGCCCGGGCGGGAGCCTGGGAGGCGCGAGCACGTTGGCCGGCGGCTGCGAGCGAGCGGCGCTGGGAGAGAGCGGGTTTGTCCTCGGCCGACCCCGGCCGGCACGGGGAGATGGCAGCGGCCGGGGGGAACCCCCCCAGGAGGGCGGCGCGGCCTCCCCCTCGCTCAGCCCTGCCAGGCCTGGGCTCCATCCAGGGCTGCCGGCGTCCGCGGAGGCGAGCGGGGACAGATGGCAGCGGGGAAAGGCATGGGGAGAGCGGGACAGACAAAGGGAAGGCTGAGCCCCCCCTTCCCTGGGACTCTTCCCTGCGGGGTGCTGGCATCCAGCCCCCGCGCCCTGGGCTGGGGGTACCTGGGGGCGCAGCTGCAGGGAGGGGGTGGGAGAGAGGACAGACGGATGGGAGAGGGAAAGGAGAGAAAGGAAGGGAGGGAGGGAGAAAGGAAGGAAGAAATTAAGGTGGAGAGAAAGGGAAAGGAAAAGGGACAGGGAAATATGCTGCCACTATCTTGCTGCCCCAGCAATTCCAGCCCCGTGGCAGAACCCCACAGCACAGCCAGCGTCCCCCCCCCCCCGAGTCCGATGTGCCCCAAACACGGCCCCTCCGATGCTCCCCCAAAAGCAGCCCCTGCATCACCACCACGCAGGGCTGAGGCAGCAGTTTTCAAGTCCTTCCCCAGGACTGGCCAAGACCCCAGTGCAGAGGCCAGTGTGACAGGGGACCGTCCCCGTGCCCCAACTGGCAGTGCCAACCCTGATCAGGGGTGTAGGGGCACACAGGGGGCTTGCCGGCGTCTGTTCCCCCCCTCCCGCGGCCACGGGCGGGAGGGAGCACCATGGGCATCTGCCGCCCCAGCTGTCCCTTGCCAGCGCAGCACGAAGCCGGGCACCCGGCCAGGATGGCAACTGCGGCCCCGGGGAGGGCACGGCGCTTGCCAGCGCGGGGGGACGGCGGGTGGCGAGGGCGGGGGACGGCAGGTGCTCGTGAGAGGAGCTCGCTCATCTTTTATTCATCGGGTGCCTAACGGTGCGCGGAACCGCTCTGGCCCCTTGTCCCCTCGGGCGGCACAGGACGTGGCACCCCGTGCCAGGTGCCCGGCAGGCACCGCTCACGCTGCCGGGGCCGGCGGGCCGAGCACGGCCCCGCTCGCTTCGGCGGTGACGCGAGGCCGGGGCTGGCAGCGGGCACTGCGGGGAAGCCGTCCGGCTCCGGCACGCCGCCGGCTCGGCGCACTGCGGGAGAGCCGGGGAAGCCCTGACCTCCCCAAGGTCGCCGGCACATCGATCCGGAGAGCTCGAGCACATGGAAACCGCCCCGGCCGTGCCAGCGCCAGGCTCGCAGCGGGGCCGGGCTCGGGAGCAGCGGCACCCCCGGGCAGTGACGCTGCAGAAGACGGGGGTGGCGGGGGGGTGGAAGCCTGGGGAGCCCCCTCCCATCCCGCTGCTGCAGCACACAGCCGTGGGGGCAGGAACCCAGCCCCTGCGGAGTCTCTGCTGTCTCATACCCTCGTGCCCTTTCCGGGGGGGGGGGGGGTCTCCTCCTGGACTTGCTGGGCTCTGCCTACCCCGTTCCCCTCAACCCCGGCCTCCCTGGCTGTTTGGCTGGGAGTAGAGATACCGGGAACAGGGGGAGGGTTTGCTCGCGTTCATCTGTGTGCTGGGGGGGTTCTCCAGCCTGCCTGCCCGCCGGTGCCCAGCTCTGCGAATGACAGATCCCAAATATTGTGAACCCCATCAATCTTCTCATGACCCTGGCGATAAATATTTGCGCGGGGGCTGGCGGAGCGGCGGTGCCCGGGGAAACGCCTGCCCCTCCATCTGGAGGGGCTGAGCAGACGCTTGGCACGGCCGGCCTGGCACGGCCGCAGCGCGCCTGGGACGAGAGCCCTGGCACGGGCTCCCCGGCAGATTGGTGCCATCTGCCTCGCGCCGCACCCAGCGGTGAGGCTGGTGGGGGGAGATAAGGGGCTGCCAGGCGGTGGGAGACGCAGATGCTGGCACAGCGCGGGGGTCCCTGCCTCCCCCCAGGTGCTGTCCTCTGGCGGCGGCACGGCCGGGGCTGCCAGGAGCTCGATGCCACCCTGGGGCGCACGGCCTGCTTGCCCTGGGCACCCATCTGCTCCCACCCCGCTCGGCCTGGGGGCTCAGCCGAGGGGCACTGCCGGGAAAAGCTCACTGCAGGGCAGAGCCTGAACCCCCTACCCCCTGAGCATGACGGCTGGTGAGGGGGGTGCAGAGAACCTCAGAGGGTGTGGGGGGCCAGCACCGCTCCTGCTCTGCCTCTCCCCGGCTCTGGGAGACTGGGTGGGAGGGGGGTGGGGTCCAAGGATGGGGGCTACCAGCATGGGGATACAAGGATAAATAGATGGGGCTGCAGGGATGGAGGCACCGTGGTGAGGGCGCAGCAAGGGAGCCCATGGAGGTGGGGAGCACTGGTGGGAGGTGCAGGGAGGGGGGCACTCTCCCGTCCCCCCCCCCCCCAGACTGGCTGCTGCCGACAGGAGCTGCTGGGAGGAATCTCTCCGTAATGCTCCGAAGGTCCTGGCACCATCGGCTGGGGAGATTGATTACCATTTTACTGCAATGCTTTTGACTTTCACCAGCGACCTCCGAGCTCCCCCAGCCCCCCCGCCCCCCCGCCGCACACCCAGCTCTGGGCTGCAGCGCCGTCCCCTCCCCCACTGCGGTGTGCACAGCCCAGCCCTCACCCAGCCCCGCACTCATCCCGCACCCATCCTGCATCCAGCCCTGCTCCCATGCTGCATCCAGCCCTGCTCCCATCCTGCATCCAGCCCTGCTCCCATGCTGCATCCAGGATGGATCCAGCCCTGCTCCCATCCTGCATCCAGCCCTGCTCCCATCCCGCATCCAGGATGGATCCAGCCCTGCTCCCATCCCGCATCCAGCCCTGCTCCCATCCTGCCCCAAAGGTGCCGGGGGTGCTGCTCGCAGGGCTGGGTGCAGGATGGGAGCAGGGCCGGTGCTGCTCTGGGACGACCCAGCCGCCCGGCATTCCCTGCACCCCACGGCCACCCCCAGGGCCAGCAGGGCTGGGACGGGACCTCCCCGCAGCCTGGCACAGGTCCTGCCTCAGTTTGCCCACCCGGGGGCACGGAAAGCCGAGGACAGGGGGAAGAGCCGAGGGGCAGAGCTCGCCTTTGACATGGGCTCGGGGGGGCCGTCCGGGCGCTCAGCCCCTGCCAAGGCTGCCCCAGACCGCGGGTGGGGAGCGCAGGGCCGGGGGCTCCTCCATCCCCCCCTCCCCGGCGTTGCCAGAGCAGCGGCTGGGAAATTGTGCTGACACCGGCAAAACCGGGCGGCGGGGGCGGGGGAGCGCGGGCGCACGTGCTCGGGCTGATAACGGAGCTGCGGGGGCTGCGGGGAGCCCGGAGCGCCCGGCCGGGGGGGCTCTGTGCGGGACAGACCCTCCCAGCCCCTGCCTGTGAGGCTGGGGATGCTGCGGGCGGCGCGGGGGAGCGGGCAGGCAGGAGAGGGCAGGAGCGGGCAGGCAGAGGGAGCGGGGAGGAGGCAGAATCAGGCAGGAGGGGGCAGGAAGGAGGGAACATGCAGAATCAGGCAGGAGGGGGCAGGTAAGAACGGGCAGTGTGCCGGGCAGGAGCAGGTAGGAGGGAGCAGGAGGGCAGCATGTCGGGCAGGGAGAAGCTCCCTGAGCCCACCAGGCTGTGGTACAGTAATCCCCAGCACCCCTCGAGGGCTGTCAGCAGCCTGGCCATGCCATGCAGGGTCCCATAGATGTGGTGGCTTCTTCCCTGCCTCAGTTTCCCCACCAAGGTGGGAGGCCGGAGACCCCTCCCATCAGCCACAGCCTGACAGAACATGCCCACCGTGGGCAGGGACCAGGCCATGCCGAGCACCCAGCACCCTGCAGCACCCTAGGGGTCCCACGCTATTGCTCCTGGCCCATGCTGGTCCCCCTTAACCAGGGCCAGAGCGACCTTAACAGTGAAAGTGAGAGGCTGCCAGGCCTTATCAGGGAGTATTTACAGCCGCTGTGTTCCCAATTAGACAGTCAGGTGACTGCGGCTGCTGGGGACCCAGACACCGGGGTCAAGGTCGCCGGTGGAGGGGCGGGGGGTGGGAGAGGGGCAGCCACCTCCTGGGGACAGCAGCTGGACACGGCATGGCCAGAGAGGCACACCAGGTGGCAGTGGGGACCCCGTTGCAGAGGCTGTGGGGGTTCAGGTCCCTGCCTTCAGCTTGGCCACTGTAGGGCTCCCAGTCCAGCATCAGGGTGCTCCCAGTTCAGCCCAGTCCAGGGTACTCCAGCCCAGTGTGATGCTGCACCTCCAGCTGAGCCAGCACAGGGTGCCCCCAGTCCAGCCCAGTGCGCAGCAGCCCCATCCCAGTGAGTACAGGGTGCCCCCAATTACAGCGTGCAGCAGCCCAGCCCAGCCCAGCACGGCCACGTCTCAGCCCAGCACAGCACACCCCACTCCCTGTTTGGGTGCACAGGACACCCCCAGCCCCCAGGCTGCACCCTGGGCCTCTGTTCCCAGCAGAGCACCCACCCTTCCCAGTGCCCTGTTGGGTCCCTTGGTGCCACGGAGCGGGCGAGTCACGTGCATGGGCACGGGTCCTGGCAGCACACGTGCTCACACGCTGGGGGCATGGCTGGGCGGGCAGGTCCCGTGTGCAACCACGGATGTGCCCCACGCCAGCCCAGGGTCCCACCTGGGGCAGGGTCTGGCCCTGGCTATTCCCTGCTGGAGGCTGTGCCCCATTTTTCCCCAAAGCCACGAGGGCCTGGCAGTCCTGCCAAACCCCTTCCCTGGGTAGTGCGGGAGGTCACATGCCTGCCATGCCTCAGTTTCCCCAGTGACACCCAGCATATCCCACAGATGGCTGGGCAGAGCGTGTGCCCACCATGATTCACAACACTGGCACCTGATTTGCTGGCACTGCCGGCACCACAGTGGCCTCTGTGGTGTCACTGTCTGTCCCTGGGCTCTGGCCAGTACCAGGCAAAGAGCCACAGCCCCACGTTCCCCCTACTGTGGTGCTGATAAGGCTGGGCTCACAGAGCTGGGGGACATCACCTCGTGCTGTGGGCATGGGCAGGAGGTGCTGCCAGGAGGGGACCAATATCCTGCCACCCCCACACACCTGGGTAGCCTGGCCTGGCCAGAGGTGGCCACAAGACCCTTGATCACCCCTAAGGCTGCAAGTCACAGACCCTCCTGTCTGTGAACCAGCCCTGTGCAATAGCCCAGCCCTCAGCTGGGATCACACAGCAGCTCCCCTGGCTCTTCACACAGCTGGGGGTGCTGGCGGATGGCAGAGTGAGTGGGGTACCCCAGCTGCTGGCAGCATGTCTGTGCCAGCATGTCACCAGCTGGGGACAACAAACCTGCCCAGGTAAAATCCCTACTTCTGAGCTTCCCCCTCCCAGCATGTGGGGAGGTGACGTGAGCTGGTGGAGAGGACAATGGCTCAGGGACCCAAACTGAGAGAAAGAGCTGCTGCCTGTGCCGCACTCCGTGACTCAGTTTCCCCCTTTGAGAGCAGCTTTGACCCTCCTTGCTGCAATGAAAGCAGCCAATTCTTCCAGCAAGTCCATGGCACTCCCAGGCAGTTGAAGGGCCAGGACCAGTATCCACAGCAGGAGCTGCCCCCACCAACGTTATTGCTGTGCCCTCCCCAGCCAGCCTCACTGCCATGTCCCTGCTCTGGCATCGAGGGGTTGGCACCATAGTCCATGGCAAATGGGCACTGCTGGACCTCTTCCAGCTCCAGCCCTTGGGGATGCACCAGGAACAGGCTGCCCCTTCCCTGCCCAGGCTGCCCATCCACTCCTCTCAGGTAGGCACAGGATGTGGGGTTAGCTCTGGGTTTAACCCCAAAACTCCATGCTGGGAATGCCCAGAGGCAGCTCATCCTCAGGGACCTTTGTGTGCTGCTCCTGGGCAGCTGGGATCAGCCCTGGCTGGGGGAGAGGGGCCAGGATGGGGGGCACCCACCCAAGAAGCAGTTTGGAGAGGGAAGCACTGCAAGGTCTGCAATGGGGAAGGTGTTTGGGAGCAGTGTCCCCAGCTGGAGACGGGGATGGGACAGATGGGGAGGGACAGCTAAAGCAAACCCCCCAGAGGTGGCCGTGGCAGAGCACAGCCAGGCTCTGCCCTGCAGGCACACGAGCACCCACCTCTCTCACGGACGAAGTAGGCCAGGTAGAGGTCGAGCTCCTTGACGGAGACGCTGATGTGGTGGGGCTGGACGCAGAGGATGGGGTTGGTGCACTGGCCCGACTTGACCAGGCGCTCGCCGTCGGTGCTCTCCAGCGGGATCCCTTTGAAGAGGATGACCATGACCAGGTCCAGCCGCCACACCTTGTCCGCCTGCCGCAGGCAGTCGATGCGGCGCATCTTGCCCTTCTGGTCGGGGTTGGAGAGGACGCAGCACGAGGGCTTCTTGCCCGTGATGGAGAGCACGAAGTCCTCGCGGCACTCGGGCCGGATGTCCTTGCGCAGCTTGGCCAGGAGGCGCGAGGCCCATTTCTGCTTCACCTCCGGCTTCTCGCTCAGCAGCTCGTCCTTCACCGCCCTCTCCTCATCCTTCGTCATCCTCTTCTCATGCTTCTTGAAGTACTTGCGCTTGCGGGCCTGCAGGTTGAACCAGGTGTAGGCAAAGGCCCTGACGTGGGGGAGCAGCGCCTCGATGAAGGGGTGGAACTCATCCTGTGGGAGCAGAGGGACAGGGGGTCACTCCTGGCCGAGTCCCTCCAAGCTCCCTCCCGAAGTGGCTGTGGAGCCCTGGGGACCTGCCAGGCTCATTCCCACTGGGCTGCATTCCAGTGCAACCAGAAGAAAAAGCTGTGGCAGAGGCACATGCCCACCAGGGTCAGGGATCCTCTCACCACCCAGCGAGGTTTCCCCCATTCCAGCAGACCTCCATAAATCCCACCGGCTGCAATTTTCCCGAGCCAACAACCTGCAGGGATTGGCTGGGCAATACAGGAGCAAGTGCCACAAAGAGACAGGCTCCTGCACAAGGCTGGCCACCTCAGCAGCACCCAGACCCTCTCCCCTTTGCAGGATCTGCTCCCACCAGGTGCAGAAATCCCACCTGAAATCCCAGCTGACACTGTGCCCACTGGAGCCGCTGTGTGGGCGTCAGGCGCTGCCAGACCACAACACCCCAGTGCCGGGTCCCCCATGCCTGCAGCATGCCGGGTGCTCCCACTCGAGCTCTGGGTGCCTTGGACCTCTCCACTCCCTCTGGACCAGTGAGAAACTCCCCCAGTTTGCCCCAGTTGCAGCCAGCCCGGCGGCTGGCGCCTGGCCCGGCACACAAGACGTGCTCTGACTGCCTTTTTCCATTTGGTGAGCACTGCTGGATGAGTCCAGCCCCAAAAAGAAAACAAGGAAAATGCATCCCCATCCCTGGCCCCTCCTTCCCGCATCCCATTTTTTTTTCCAATTTGGAAAATCAGTGCTTCCTGGCTGGGGGCCCACAACCCCACCATGGGATGGAAAGGTGTTGGGAGCCTTCCTGGCGAGGAGCAGCACAGCTTGGAAAGCAGCAGGCAGAGGGTTGAACATCCCTGTGTGTAGCCAGGGCAGCACCAAGCTGGTCCCCAAGGGCAGGATTTGGCCCTTGGGGTCCCTCATGACTGTGGGGAGGAGGAGGAGAAGGAAGGGGCTCAGCTGGATTCCTGCCAGGGCTGAGAGGGGGGTGGCTGGGGATAACTGCCACTGCCATGCCACAGGGACATGCCTGGGGAGGGTGCCAAGGGCAAGTGCTGCTCTGAGGTGAGGAGGTGGCCACGGGCAGGAGCTGGGAAAGGACAGAGCTGTGGCTGTGGGATGGGGTGAGCACTCCAGATCTAGCTCCACTCATCCCAGAGCAGCGATGCCATTCCCTGGCTGAAGCAGCTGTGTCCCAGAGTGACCCTGCCTGGAGGGAACAATGTCCCCTGAAACAGGCTCCCAGCAAGGATTGGCCCCATACAGACCCTGCTACTCCCATTTGTTCTCAAGTCCAGCACAGATCCCATTAACCCTAAATCTGCTCCCCCAGCACAAACCCTGACAACAGCAAGCGTGAGTCCCTGGGTGTCCCCTGAACCAGTGACCCCTGCACAGACCCTGCTGTGACCTGGCACAGACATCCCAGTGCAGACCCCACTGTCCCTGAATGTCCCTGAACCCAGCACAGACACCAGTAACTGCCAGCCCCAACCCCCAGCACAACCCCACTAATGCCCCAAAAGTCCCTGAACGCACAAATCCTTCCTCATGGGACAGACCCTGCCACCTCTGGGCCTGCCCCTCTCTGGACAAAGAGCTGTAGCCCCACAGGTGTCCCTGCCATGCTCAAAAAGGGACAGGGGACTGTCCCCTCACTGGGGAGCCCATTGTGCCCACAGGGACCCAAATCTGCAGGCAAACCCATCCTAACCCTGGGGACCCCTGCCCAGGGGACTCATCCTGCCAGAGGAACCCTCTTTGCCTGGAGGACCCGACTCTGCCTGGGGAACCTGTCCCCACCGGCTGCTCCCGGGGCCACCACAGGATCTGGTTCCCTCTTCCCTCCCCAGCAGCAACCGCTAATTCAGTGCAGCTGGGCAAGGGCTGGGCATGTGTCTTAAATCAGGGAAGAAGGTCAAAGAAAAGTAAGACAGGAGCCGAAAAAAGCAGCAGTGAGTTCCAAAAACAATACTTGGCCGGGGCGGTGGGCGGCTGATCTTCCTTGGTGGCCGGTTATTCAGACGAGCCCGACAAATTGCTGCCATCCCCTGGCCCCGCCACCCTCCCCAGGCAGCCGGCGGCAGGGCTGGCCGCAGGGCCGGGGGGACACCGCGCCATTGTCCCCATCCCTGCTCTCCCGCTTGGGGAGTGCCACCCCGGGCACCCCTGCAGGGAAGCACGGCCGGAACCAGGTTATCCGGGCTGGGCTGGGTGAGGCAGCACCCTCGGGTGCTGTGGGGGCCGGGGGCTGCTCTGCCTCGGCACGGCAGCAGCAAACCCCAGGTTCTGTGCTCCCCCTCACCGTGCCGAGAATTTACAGTTCTCGCTTGGACCCACAACTGAGACCCTCCAAAAACCCTTCTGCGTGCAGAAGCCCCCGCAGCCCTCGGTGCCCCCGAAGCCGTGGCAGCCCCCCCGCCCTGGCCGGGATTAGGGCAGGCCGGGAGCTGCACCCAAAGCCAATCAGCCCCTCGCCAACTTTCCCTCCCGCCCGGCTTAACCCGCGCCGCGATGCCGCCGTTAAGCGGCTTTAGCAGGGCAGGCGAGGGCGGCTGGGGGGCATCAGGACACGCACAGGGAGACGAACGGCGGCTGCGGGGACACGCTAAAGGACGGGGGGACCGTCCCCACCGTGCGGGCAGCGAGCCCCGCAGCCGGGCGCACCGTCCCGGCTGGCACCGGCCCGCTTCACACCGGATCCACTGGGGAAGGCAGAGGCAGGGATGCGCTGTCTGTCTGTCCGTCCCAGTCCCAGATTCCCACCGGGTTCTCCCAGCCCAGTAGCCCGAGCGCCGGCAAAAGACTGGTTAAGTGTTTCTCCTGCTGTTTTTCCTTTGCGGGGCTGGGAAGCAGAGACGTGCTGCAATACCCCAGACGAGGCTGCTCCCGGGGCATTTCCGGATGGGAATCTGGCAGCAGAGCCTGCGCTTGGGCCTCATCCAACCCAGGCTTGTAAAGCCCTGCAACCCAGGCAGGAGCACGCCTGCGCCGGGCGCTGCCGGCCCCGCTCCGGGCCCCCCTGCACCCCCTTTCCAGGGGCTGCAGGAGCGCTGGCTTCCCATGCCAGGTGCTGTGAGGGGAAACTGAGGCACGGGTCAAGTCCGGCTCTGTCTTGCGGTGGAGCGGGGAGAGGAAGGAGGGATACTCTGTGTGGAGCTGGGCATGCCATGGAGGATTAACTCCTCCGCAGCCCAGAGTTTGGCAGCGCCAGGGATTGGGAAGGGGCACAGCTGAGGCGCTGCCTCTCCCCGTGCTTCTGCCGCCGGCTCGGCAGCACCGGGGGACACTCCGGGGACAGGGGGGATGCTCCGTGCCACGCAGGGACACGGCAGCTGGCACGGGCACCGCGGCATGGGCTGGCCACCCTCCGAGCATCCTCCGCTCCAGCGCCTTGTCCAAACAGGTCGGGCTCAGTGAAACAGCCTGAATTTTCCAATGAAAAAAAAAAAACCCCAACACGTTTCCTCAGGAAATTCCCGAGCAGTTTTCACGGGGGAGGTGCTGGGGTGAGGGGCGGAGGAGGAGGAGCGGGACGGGAGGGGTCAGACACCTCGGCAGTTGGTTTTGCTCTCCCACCAGCACGGCCTCGGCTGCGGGGAGGAGCGGGACGCTCCATCCGCACCGCGGGCAGGGAGCGACGCGGGACAGCCTTGCTGCGTGGCGGCCCTGCAGGGACCACACAGGGTTCTCCCCATGCAAGGATGCTCAGCCACCCCTCCAGCAGCCGCACGCCTCCGAACCGCTGCCGGCTCCCACGGCCGCCGCTCCTGCCAGGTCCCCGCGGCCCTGCGAGCCCGGGCAGGGGCTGGCAAGTCGGGCCCCCATGGGAAGCCTTGGCGTGGTGGCAGGGGGGGATGCGACTACAGAGGTTCCGGTAATCCTGAAAATCCCGGTACCTTAAAAGGGCACAGCGGGGACTCGCTTTCTCCTCACCAGAGCCCACAGATGCCCTTAGCACGGACCGGAGCCTCCGGTAGCCGCTTATAACTGTTCGCCGAAGCGGCCCTGGGTAATGAGTTAACCTGGTAATGAGACCTGTTGCCGAGACAGATGCAAATGATTGGGAAGTGCTCATTAGAGGGGATGGAAGGAGGCACTTAGGCCCTGAAAGGCACCCAGCCCTTCCCGGGGCCGCCCTGCACCCTATTAGAGCCCATTTTGCAATAATTGCTCCAGAGGAGGAAATCTATTTGGATTCATCATAAAGTATTTATTAACAAGAGCTTATTCATAATTTTTGCTGCTCGCCGGTGTGGCGCGGCCGGGCGTCCCGGCCTGCTCTGCATCGGAACGCGTTTCCCCGGCCCGGGAGAGAGAGAGAGCGGCAGCGCTGGGGCGGGGCAGCGAGGGGGCACGGGGGCACCTGGGGCTCCCGGGGCAGGTACGAGCTGTGCGGGCCTTGCCTGTGCACACCCGGCCCCACGACACAGCTGCCCGTGGGGCAGAACACTCTGTTACAGCCACGTTCTCCCCTCGCTCCTGTCTGACCCAGCCCCTCACTTGCAAAACCCCTCCTGCAGCCCACGCCGGGGCACAGAGCCTCGGTGCCCAGGGCACCTGGCTGGCACCACCGGCACAGGTGGAGGTGAAGGCAGGACACTGTGCAGCCTCCTCGCAGTTTCTCTCTCCGGATCCTGCGGTTTATTTTCCCCCAGAGCCAAGAGCATCCCCCAGCCAACACCCACACACGGCTGGGGGCTGTGGGTGGGCTGGACTGTTCCCACTACGGGTTCTGGTGGAAGGGTGAGCACAAATGGAGCAGAGAGGGGCTCCCAACCCTCATTTGCTGCCGCGATGCTCAGCCCCGCTCAGGATCAGCCCAGGAGCGGGGGGTGGGCTCGTACAGCCCCTGGTGCTCTGCACTCACCCCAGGAGCCGGGTGACCACGCACCCCTCACTGAGCCGCCCCGGGATCCCCACACGTGGCGCTGCCCAAAACCGCCCGCCTGGCCTGTGAGCCCCCCGGAGCAGTCGGGTCCCGCCGCCCC